ACCGACTGCCAAAGTGACCGCACGTGGGGGAAGATGCATAGCCAAGACATGTCTGCTTTGGGAAGAGGAAGAGGAAGGAGGGGAAGGAATTGCATGTGCCTGCGCTGCTCCTGTCTGCTCTATACAGCGACCGCTCTCTGTTGAGTCTAAATCTGCCTAAATCTGCTGTGTGAACTGGCTGGGTTCAGTATTTTCAATGTCTATGTTCAATGTGATTCAAAATTAAAAAAAAAAAAAAAAACAATCCAAGAGTACTGTTTTTTTAGAGCATATTCATATTTCTGACTTGGGTTTTTATGTTCTCTTTGAGAACCAGACCACCAGAAGAGACTACTCCAACTGAAGGAACAAAAGTTTTCAGAAAACATATGATGGCTTTTGGGCTGGATTATTTTTCCCACTCCCTGTGGGTTATTTGTCCTTGTAGTTGCCAGGAAAAAAAAAGAGAGAGAGGAAAAAAAAAAAAAAAAGAAGAAAAGCTGACTTGCAGCGAGCAAGCAGTATCTCAGCAACAAGCAAAGCTCTCAGACAAATTTTCCCTGACAGTCTGCTGAGAGGGTGGTTGCAAGGAGAGAGCAAACACACACAGGGCTTTCTCTGCTGCACAGCGCTGGCYGGGCCTCAGAAGGGGCTGGGTGGCAGCCTGCCAGGGACACCAGGCTTTCTTTCTGCCTCTGCCAGCTTCACACCAAAATTGTCCCAGGGCCAGGCCATAACCACATCAGCGAGCTGGGGAATGGGAGCTGGCAGTGGTTTCCATGGGCAGGGCGGACTCCCTGCTCTACTGTTATTGTTATCAGCTTCTGCGTCCCATTATTTGAAACACAGGCCCGGGGAACAGGCGGGGAGATTTGCAGTGGGAGGTCACCCAAAATGATTTCCAGAATGGAAAYGCTGGCAAAAAAAATTAAGGAACATCTGTGCGGAGAGGCTCTCTTCAGGGATTTTCTTTCTCAGCACTGTGCGTGTTAGGAAAGGCAGCTTGCTGCTGAGCACATCTTCTCCAGCTGTATCTACACAGTTGCTCTGAGGAACACGCATTAGAGGCCAACAGTTAACACACCTGATGTCTGCAAAGGAGGATGGCAAATATGATCGAGCATCTGGCTGCCAAATACCACCCCAAGCATTCAAGCCCTACCTATGGTGATGCAGGAGGTGGTACCCAGGCTGTGGATCAAAGTCCATGGTTTCATTTCTCAGCTTCAGAAAGAAAGGCTCAAATTTTGTTCATGTGAGCAGGAATGTGTCTTGAGTGAMCAGGCTTTGGCTCCGGTGTAAGGCAGCTTTATTCATTTGATTGTAAAATCCAGTGGGGAAAAGCACTGGTGAAGATCAGGCCAGTTTTCCTGAAAAGTAAAAAGGGAATTTGGGACAAAACTGTGCAATTTCTTTGGCTTCCTTAAACTTTTGACTGATGGGGGAACAGATGTACCTATGTAACAGCAGCTGCATGCAATTAAATATATTGCAGTCTTTGCAGATGTCCAGTAAGATTTCCGTATAAACTGTTATGGGGGACTGGATCAGGTATCCACATGAGGACAGTGATATCAGGGGCACATCACAGCTTCAGCTCAGGCTGGAGAGGTGAAGYGCCTCGGTCATTAGTGGACTGCCTCAAGGAACCCACACTAGCACTTCATTTCTGTCTTCTTTCAAAGAGCCTCTCGTTTAATCTCACTCAAATGCAGCACAAGGAATCAAAACATCAGTCCAGGGTCACTGCAGAACAGCATCTGACTTTTCCCGATTTTGACTACAGTTTATTACTGTTGATGGCTCTTATTTCTGTGCTCATCAGCTGGAGAGGCAGAAGGTCATTTCTATATTGTCCATCCCAGAGGACCAAGGCAAGCAGCAGCACTAACACTCAGGGAGAAGCGCAATGCCTGCTTTGCTGTAGTAGGACAGGGGAGCATTTTTGATGTATATGAAAGGCTCCTTGTGAAATGTCAAGCACAGGGCACAGGGTCACATCTGCATAAAAGGTGAATTTGGAGGTTGCAATACATCCATGATGGTTATGGCCATATTGGGTCACACATGGACCTAAGCCAGGGCTACAAACAAATGTGGAGAGAGAGATTTTTTATGCTGGAGTTCAAGTGGTTGGGGTGCCAGGAGATATTTTATAAAATCTTCCTTTTTTTTTCTGATGTGGCTTTGGATTGTTGCTTTAACTTTCTAGGCACTATTTTGAGATCCTCTATTCTGAGATTCTTCCTCGTGGAAAACTGAAGAGACGTATCKAAATAGTTTTTAAGGGTATATGGTTCTTTGAGGAATCTGGTGGCATTGCTAGTAATTTAAATATCAGGGACTTTATTTGGGGGGAGAAATATGGTGTCTTTTTTAACTACATTTTACTATTATACTCCACAGTAGAGAACAATTGCTCCAGCTCAGTGAGCAGAGACATACGAAGGTACCAAGTGAAGAAATGACAGTAAATACAAGTGTGGATGTTATTAAATTGCTGTTAAAGCTGCATGTGAAGATCCCTAATAATGATGATTTTGAAAGCTTTTGTAACCAAAGAAAAAAAAGATTATTTTGCCCCCACCCCAGATTCTGATGTTCCTTACTGTTTTCCCAATAAAGTCAGGCAAACAGCAGGCTGCTGTTTCACCTGCCAAGGCACTTCTCTCATATGAAAGGCTAGTCCACRTAGGGAAATGCAGCAGCTGTGTCTTGGCCCTTCTTTGTTTGCTCTCCAGGGAGATTCCTTGTTAGCTGTGCAAATAAACAAAAAAACCTCATAACTTTAGCAACTAGAAAATTGATTTTATTGAAAAATGGTCCTGACAGTAAAATTGATTTCTAATAAAGTCATAGCATGGTCTATGCAAAAAGTGTGATCTTATATGTGGGTCACATTCACCCTTTAGATGCAAAAACTATGTGATAAGAAGGCGCATTTGGATGCACCCGGAAATGAACACTCTTCAGTGCCATTAAATTGTGGATAACCACCTTTTTTTTTTTTTTTTCCATTTCTTGGTAGTTAGGTGTGTAGTGTCTTGTTAAAGGCTCTATACATTCCTTCTCCGTACAAGCTGGTACAAGCTACGATGCAAACAAATGGTCATATTGCCTTTATCTTCAGTAGCATTGGACCAAGCTCACATTGGACATTATGGACCATAAGCTAACATTGCATCACTGGATCAAGTATCAGRTTTGTCTCTCGATACATAAAACAAGCCTATTTAAATTCTTGAAATAATGATTTGGAAAATAAACATAAGTGAAGACTTACAATACAAGCCTATGTTTATATCAAAAAATAACTTAAACAGATTGACTCTTAAACTGAAGAAGGTAGCCAAGGAAAATGTGATTTTCCYGGTGATATGCTGAGTACTTTTCCAACTGTTCATCAATGATTCATTTTCCATATATTTCAGACAGAGTTKAAATTAGTTGTTGAGAATGGCTGTATTTTCTCCAGAAAAGTTCAGAGCATTGAGAACATTTCCTCACTCAGAGAAATCTTCTTCTGTGAGAATTCCACAGGAAAATCTTTCGCCATTATATCAAGTCTTCATACGACACAGGACATTTTCCTCACAAATATGGCAAAAAATTGTAGACTAAAAACATCTGAGCATGTTTTTATTTAAAATTGGACTATTGGAAAAATGTCCAAATGTGCTCAAACTAAATTTGGACCCTAAGTACACTCAATTTCAAGCAGTCTGGTTTCTTGGGCACACATTTTAGAGAACACTCAAGGGCTTATAAACACAGACAGCCTTTTGGTGAGCCAAAAGTCTGCATAGGTAGAGATCCCAGCTGCTGGTAAAGCAACATTCCTTCTCCTCTGCAACCCCTCATTCCTCCTCCTTCTGGCTACATGTTTTTTTCCTGCTGTATTGGTCCTGTTTGACATCAGGCCGTTCAAAACAACTGGAAGTTTTAACCCTATGAAAAAGGGAATGCTTTTTTGCTTGGAGCAGATAGGAGGATTAGGGACACTTCTTTGGCAGCAATTTGCTGTCAGACTGGAAACCACTCCTGAAGGCTGTGCTGCCAAATGTCCTACCAGCTACCCCCCGGGCCTAGATATTTTTAAAAGTTTGGCTCCGTAGCCTTACATATGGATTGAGTTGCCTAAGCTCAAATGCTCAGCTTCCAAAAAAGTATGGGTAGCACTGATATAAAAACAAGTTTTGCACTAGTTTGAAGGGAGCAGAGAGCATGCAACGTGACACAGGGTGCAGCTCTGTGCATGCAAGCCAGCACTCTGCCTTTGGTTTCGATGGTCACATTACTTAAATCTTTGCAATACTGAAACTGTTGGCTAGAAATCATTGTGTCACCTGATAATCATTATATATTAAACAAAATACCTCAGAATGGAAAATCTCAAAGTGTTAACGCTTGTTGAATGGTCTGAGCCATTGCTGGCTCTTGTTTGGCTTTCTGCCTCTTGTGTAAGTCAGACTCACAGAAAATATCAGTTGTGCTTTGTATTTCTGTTATGGGTAAACTTTTTGCCAATGTTTGCAAAGAGAACTGGCAAAGCACGCCAAAGTATCAGAAACCTGCTCTTCTGCATACACAAGGAAATGGTGCACAAAGACACCAAAATAATGACATGAACACTTTCCCTTCAAACCGCACATGAATAAAGTGAAATGAAATACTCTGGAAACAAGACAAATGAGTGGAAATGCTGAGGAAAGAATACTGCTCTTTCCATGAACACCAGAGGCATAGCTACCCTGCTAAATAAAAGAGGACCAGGGACTTTGCCCAGGCACCTGACCTCTGATCATTCATGCTGCATAATGTTAGTGAGCTCCAGTCTCCCTTTGGACGTTTCCAGTGAGCCAACTCCAAGRCACTTTTGTGTCAGCAGGGCCTGGTGCTGAACCATGTGGCTCTAGGCTAGCTAGCACCACATGGTTTCTATTCTTTGGTAACTTGGACAAAGTCTAGATGTCCTGTTGGGAATATATATATCTRTATACGATTTTGCAACTCAGAACCAGTTACCTGCAGCATAAACTTTTGATTTGTGCTTTGAAATTTTCAGCAACAAAGTAATAGAGCACAGGATCAAGGCAACTGTTCATGGCTGCCAGGCAGAGAGTGATGACCACYGCCTTATGCAAAGACAGGTTGTCCTGGTGGCACACGTTGTAGCTCAGGTGTATAGTTCGCAGTATGTGGTATGGCAGGAAGCACAGGAGGAGCAGGATCAGGGTGATGATGATGGTGGACAGTGCTTTCTTGTGACAGATTGATGTTTTTTTCTGAGGAGTCTTGGTCTTGACCAGCTCTTTGATGGCAAAGACATAGCAGATGATAATGGTGCAGAACGGCAGGATGAAGCCCACCACGAGGACAATGTTGTTCATGAGGAAGAACTTATATGTGTTGTCTGGGTGGAGGTCCAAGCACTTGACAGTGCGATTGTGCCCTGCAAATTCATTACTTAGTAGCGGGCTGGAGGCTGCCAGTACAAAGAACCATATTGCTGTGCACATTATCTTGCCATTCTTAACATTAGTTACTTTCCACAGCTTGAACGGGTAGACAATGGCTATGAAACGAACCACGCTCAGCACGGTGAGAAAATAAATGCTGCAGTACATGTTAACGTACAAGGTGTAAGTCATGATCCTGCAAAGGGCTTCTCCAAATATCCAGCGGGAGCCCAACAAGAAATAGGTGGCCCGAAAAGGCAAAGTGCTTACGAACATGAGATCTGAAATGGCCAAGTTCTGCATGTAGATGTTTACTGAAGCCTTTCTCTGGGAAGGCTGGAAGAAGACATATATGGAAAGGCCATTTCCAACAGCACCCAGGAAAAAAATGGTAAGATACACGGCAGGATAAACAGCTTGCTTGAAGCTGTCAATGGTACAGTTGGATGAGCTGTTAGTGAAGCTGACGTTGAGTGCCATCTCCGAAGTATTGGATACAAGCTCCATTGGGAACTCACCCTTGTGACTACTTGACTGAGTGCAAGAAGTTATAAGCTGCAGAGAGCAGTGGAAAGTAAATGTTAGATGAGTAATCACTTGTGGTGCCCCAATAAATACACATCTCAAAATACATTCGTGGCACTTTCAAAATGTAAAACACCAAAGAAGTGCTAAATGCACTGGCTAATACAGCAGTTATGGTTGTCTCCAGCTCTGTAAGTGCTGCCTTTTGAAGGTGGATCTTACACATGTTTCAAAGACAATTTTGTTAGCTTTTCTGTGCAAAATAAGCCAACTTGTTGTCAGGCATTCTGTAACAGCGAGACACAGAGTCAGCAGTTACCGGCCCTGGAAATATCAAAAGCTGGTCAGAAAAGAAGTCACCATCTGCCAGTAAATTTGTGTTTCAAGTTAGKATGAAAAGCCAAAAGCATTGAATTTTTCTGTTGGGACTAACAAAACTTTTCTGCTGTTTCCTGTTGTTGACAGGATATTGTTGAACTTTCCTGAGCTATACTGAAAGCATTTTGACACACCTTCATAAACATAAATTAAGAACGTTTTAACCTTAAACATTGTATAAATACAGTGTCAGTTACGCACCCTTTTTAAAATTCCCTTCTCCTTCCACAGTATTTCTTCTTTCATTTGCTGATAGTTTTCTGCCTCTTTTTATGGGATTCTTGCCTCATTTGCTGCTTTTGCAACATTTTTTGTTCTCAACTGCTCTAAATCAGTTGGTTGCTTATGTACACTGTGGCTCACATTGGCAGCCCTATTGAAAATGATCTGTGAGAAAACAGGCTATGTTGATGCAGAGTGATATTTTCTCCTCCCATGAAACCATAACTCAGTCAAATCAAAACCACTGATCACTGAAACACTCTAAATAATATTTCTTTACTCATTAGAGTCTATTTTCTTGCAAAATCCACGTATGTTTTCTCAGCTTACCTGCAACTACTGGTGCTTCAAAAGGAAGATTTCAGAACTGTTGCTCATTTAATGGTGGGAAAGGAATCTCCTCTCCATATCTGTCAACATACTCCAYAGATGCAGTACGGAAAATTTTAACCTAAAGAACAGAGCAATAGAACAATAACAAATTGTTATATGCTAGAAAAAATACAGCTTGTTGTTTTCCCCATTGATAGATAGTCAAAAACCAGCCCATGTGATATCTCTCTTATTCTGGAGCTCATTGACTTAACAATTTGAAAGCAATTTATTTGTGCAGATAAAGTCTCAGTAGGGGGCTGTAGATTTGGATCCCTTGAGCTTCCCTGTACTGACTGCAGGGATAGCAACATTAGTGTTTGYGCCACGGCCAGGCGCTAGTTAGTGAAACCTTTCCTCATGGTTTCCCCTTCCAGGCGTGCCTGTGCTATCTGCAAGGCTGCTTCTCAGAGTCCCTCTGGATCCCAGAACATTGCAGCCAGATGTGTCCCAGCAGTGATCTTTTGGCTGGCAGCTGGAGTGGTGCTACTGTGAGAGGGAGCGTGGGAAGAGYGATTCCTTGGCCTGGGCTTCCAGGACGTACCTCATGGTTAAGATGGAAGAGTCGTGGACAGGGGAGCAGGGACTTCCACTCACATGGAGGTTTTATCTGTCCCTGCAGAACCTGAAATCATCCCTCCAAAAACAATAATACTTATGAAGTTTGTGGGGGCTGGAGATTGGAACTAGGGAATTTCCTAACATTAAACCCTTTTTCAGTCAGAGGAATTTTGAATAGTTTTGGTTTTCTATACTGGCTGGCATGGAAGTTCTCCATGTGGAATCACGAAGCAGTTTTTCTCCTGAGTGAAGCTGGGCTTCCCATTTGTCAGGAAGATACCATAGCCCGAGATACCACAAAGATAAGAGCACTTTTGACTGCATTTTGCTATGGACCAAACATGCTTGTCTTTAGAAAGTCAAAAAACAACAAAAAATATAAGTGAAGAGACCAGCTACCTGTTGAATTGTTTCTGCTGAGTGGGATACCACACATGACTCTCCCAAACCTATGAGAGGAAGGAGTCAAAGAAAGATGAAGAACTTGAACTATGTGCAAATATGAAACCTTGCTCAGCACTGCAAGTGATCACTTATAGTCTGACACTATCTACTGACGCTAAAGCTAACAGCAACTATTAAAACTATTTTGTGCTCCTCATCTCTCATGCCAGCTAAAGGCCTTTAGGAAACTAGGTGCCTATGTGTAATTGAGGAATCAGCATCTTCAGATGTGGTAACAGAGCCAGTATTCAGGCTCTCCAAATTATCCAGACAAAGCTTTTAAGCTGTTATGAGACGTCTAGGAGAAAGAGGCTGGGAGTCTGTCACATGAAAGCTGTTAATTACCCTTGTGCCTGCCCTCAATCTATGACCAGTAATGACCTGTGCAGTTATATGCAGACCTATTTGTTGTGTTTTACCACACAGATTGATGTGACATGTAAGGTCCAGTGAAAGATGTATTACACACAGGRCTATTGGAAGCAGCCACAAAGTAAAAGGGGAAAATTTTACCCCTTGTTGCAGCCAGAGATGTTCATCAGCCAGCTATGGTCAGGAGATGGCTCCAAGATAAGCAGAAAGTGTTCATACCTAAGGAAAGGAAAGAAAATTTGTTTTCTGTAAGAGTGTCCCAATTCTCTCCTGGCTAGAGAAAGAAAAGAAGGGATTTCAGATGAATGACTAAATCTGCAGAATCCCCAAAAAGACTTCAGAAGGGAGATTGGCAGTAAGACCAAAAAACTCCCTAAAAGGCAAGGGGAAGCAAATGGGGCAATCTGAAATGGGAGTCTCTCCTGCACAGTACTGAAAGACTTCTCTCACGGGAATGCTCCGGGAGGAGCTATTCCTTCCATCTGAGTTTCCATGATGGAAACCACCAGGCAGCCGCAGCGGAGACTGAAGGGAATGTGCACAGCCTGAGGCTCTGGCACTGCCTTGGTGGGACAGTCAGCTCCTCAAGGCATCAGAAGACCTAGGAAATGCATGGGTGCACAAGCCAGGTGGAGAACTGACAGCCCAGAAGTCAAGGAGGGCTCCCTGGAGGATACGTGCCTTGAACCCAGGAGAGCATCAGGAGCCCACTGAAGTCAAGGTTTCAGCAGAGAGGATGAGGGAGATAACGCAACGTTCCTCAGCCGTATGACTCGACCCAGCTTTGATTTGAGTCATTTCATTGCCATATCAGCTCCTTGGGAAGACAACTGGCATTGCAAATAACCAACGCCTGCTGGAGCAATCATGGGTGATACATTTAATAATGAGACCTACCTATACAGGCAACCTGAAAGAGCCTTTACACCTGCTTGCCAAGTGAACAGGACAATCTGGCTCAGGAGAGGCAATAAGAACGATGAAAGTTCCTGGAGAGCAGGCGAGTCTGCTAAGTGCTTATCCTGCAAGAGCTGTGGATGTCCCCCAGTCAGTAACCCTGAGCACTTGGGAGTCCTTGTAGGCTGCTCAGAATGTCTATTAAACAAGCAGAGGCCTTGCTCAGTTCCTAGGGTGTGTAAGGAGAGAGCAAACCAGTTCAGCAATATGGTATTTTTGGAGCTTGACGAAGAACGTGCCCAGACCCAGCAGCAGACAAAAATGCAGCAGCTGAAGGAGCAGTATGAGCAAGACAATTTCCAGGTGCTGAAGTTTTCTCCAGCACACTTCCATGAGTACAGCTCACCCCTAGCTAACCAGTTTAGTAAGCACAGGGTATTTAGTGAGCACAGATTCCTATCTGAAAGAGATGCTAAACTAATATAGTTTAGTATCTCCCCAATCTAGTAGCTGGAGAAGACAAGTCAAACAACATGCAAAGCCAACTGGGCTATACTGAATGACAAAAGCAAAACTTGCTCATAATTCTGCACCCGTACTCAAAGCCTAAAAATAAGAAGGGAGCAAGGATGCTTGGCATGAGATAACAAATCTGGTATAACGGGCATCTCAGAGACCTGCTGGAAAGAGGATAATCAGCAGGATCCTGTGTTGCCAGGCTACCAGCTATATGATAATGATAGTGTAGGATGCTCAGGTGGAGGAGTGGCACTGTGCAGGAAGGACACATAATGTAGCAGCACAAAATATTATGTTTAGAGAGAGACACAATACATCCTACATTCTAATAATAAAAATGCAATATAAGGTTTGCACTACCAAACTCCTCATCAAGGTGAWGGCAGTGATCAGGAAACGTTAAGTGAGATTAGAGAGGCTGAAAGCAGATGGCAAATAGGGGGAGATTTAGGTGCCTTCATACAAACAGGATGCTGTGTTAGGATGAGATGTAGAGAATATTCTTGCCTGAGGTAAATGACTGATTCCTAGGATAATTAGTGCTGCAATTCACTACACAGGATTCTATTCTGCATTTGGTATTTACTGCTCTGGAGGACCAAGTTCAAGCCATTTGGGATGGAGGGCACCTTGTAACAGCAGCCTCAGGAGAGCAGCAAGAGGAAGAAGTAGTCCCTGAACCAAAAAGCCTACAGAGTTTTGGGTGTTGTTTAAAAAAGAACAGAAAATTCAGCAAAACCTGTGCTAGAAGCCCACATATAAGGAGCAACATCACTCCAGAAGAAATAAATATTTCAATAAACACTGAGGTCTACATGTATCAATATAGCAAAGCTTTTATAGGGTAAAGATGATCATTTGCAAATCGGAAGGTTTGTCCAAACGAGGAGAATAGGGAAGCCCATATCATGGCAATTCAAATATAGAGAATAATCAGATAGCGTAATTTCTTGTTTGTTTGTTTTGAAAGCACCTAGCAAACCATGCTCAACTGGAGAGTAGCAAATGTTATAAATACGTTAAAAGATGAAAGACAGCTAAGGAATTAGCAGGTTTTCCTGACAGCAAAGGTTTTTTTAGGAATAACACAGCCGTAGTGGAGAAACTCAGTGATTTTAGCCTTGCCTACTGAAGATGCTGGGGTTATTTTCTTGCCTGGAACATGCTTCGTAGCCAACAGGTCAGAGGAGCCAGCTCTTCTATAGATATGGATTGAG